CATATTTGTGACATGATGTACTTGTGTGTGTGAAGTTTGAACTCGATCAATCCAAGCATGTCTCAGATACGGATCCAGAACTGAATTCTTTAAAACAAAATGGCCGCCAGTCGGCCATTTCGAACCCGATCCAAAGAAAAAAATGACGTGCATCAAGGTCCTATTATGTTTAATGTATGTACCAAATTTGAACAAAATCCGTCAATGCATAACTGAGATCCGGGTCCGGAATGGTGAAAATGTGCGATTTTGATGCATTTTCGGCCTTAAAATGGCCGCTATTCGGCTATCGTTAATCGGATCATGAAAAAAATGCATGTGCATATGTCCCATATAATGTGTGATGTATGAGTGAAGTTTGAACTTAATCGGTCCATGCATGTTCGAGATACAGGTGATCACGGACGCACGGACGCACGGACGCACACAGGGCAAAACATAAGTCCCCGTTTTCGGACTGCGTCCGAACGGGGACTAATAATCCAATTGTATAGCCAAAGCAGATTTCACTGTCTCCTGGTCGCTGTAAAACGCCACACCTCCGAGAGCACCGCCGATGAATATCTGTCCTGTCGTAGGATATGTTATGTTTATATTGTCCGCATTGGTTGAGGAAAAATTATACAGACCGATTATATCATTCAAACTACACTGATCAAGCCACTTTGCACATAGATCATTGTCGAATCGAAGGGTTGCACCGTCTAACGTAATATTTATGTCAACAATGAAATCGTTCAGTTTGATGACTTCACTACCACCACGCAATACGTTCCCACCATCCGAAGCAGTAATTATCACATGACCAAAACGACCAAGGTTGTTCAATCTGGCGCTGTTAAATTGGGTAGCGTCATCGTTTGGAAACAGTTCGCCTAATCGAGCTCTGTCATGTCGGGCGCGGCTATCCGCTGGAGCAAATAGATATTCAGGATCAGTCTCTTCCGTGAGAGTCAGCAAGCCAGCTCCTAGTGCGGCCGCCACGAGCAGAGGCACCACGACGAAAGGTAATGGGTGCCTGGCTATAAATTTGCCGTACTGATAGAATAGGCGACTCAGCCGCCGTTCTACACAATCGCATCTACAGTCACAATAGCACATGCTGCATATTCGATACTCACGAGCGCACCTAAATATATGGCGTGTTTTTCTGTAGCTGTCTCATATACTCCGCTTCCCTCTGCGTCTAATGGTGGCAACACTGTTTATAGCTCGCATTCTTGTCGCAATTGACTAGGATACGCATGCGCATTTTTTGCAATTTTTCACTAAAACTCATAAATAATGTATTAGTTGAAATAGTTTTTACTAATATGTGATAGCCTCGTCCCACACAATACAAACTACTGATTTAGAAAATAATAATAAAAAATAATTAAAGCGCGGTAGTCGTCTCGCTGCGCATGTGCGACATTTGTGTTGATAAACATTGATTTCCCACAATCCAATGCGCTCTTCAAATGGAAATCATAAGTATGAGGTTTGACCTGGGCGCCAC